CTGGCTCGAACACGTCGGAGCTTCTTGGAACTTTTCAAGAGTCCATCGAGTGAGACGATATCGCTTGGGAAAGTCGAGCGGCTTCAGTTTGTGCACAAGCTGTATTTTGTACGTCAGTCCGAGCTGCTGCGAACGGCGCCGAACCGACCTCCACGGTCTTCGTGTACACTCTCAAGTACGGCCACTATGGAATGGGCGCGAAACAGATTCTTTACAGAACCTGAATTTTCGTAATAAAGTTAAACAATTTGTAAAATTTGTTCAAGTGTAAGTCTTTCCATGATGAAATGCAAAACAATACCGAACAAAAATAACATAACAACTCGACACGACTCCCGCGTGTTGTGTCAAAAAAAGGCTATTGAAAAAAGTACCTCTACTTGAATCACCCATTGTAACGGGACGGGACAGTATTTCTAGATTGAGTAAAAAGAGCTGGTGGAGTAACCAGCGATGCAGGTAGAACGAGGTAAAGGTAGATGCGCCTGTGAGGCCAAGAAAACTACCCCTTAGTGCGCTTATGACGGATTTCTCAACCTTTTCGGGCCTTCTGAATGACTTGACATTAGCGATCAACTCGTTAAATTTCATGGGTTGGATGGTATAATACACAGCTGCAGCCGGCTATCATATTCTGGTGGCTCGTACGTCACGACCAAGCTAATAGTAGGAGTGGAGACTTCCTTGCACACCGTTGCTATTTGGTTGGGGGGTGTCATCTGGCATGAGAAATTTGTTGTGGGACCATCGATATCAAAGGGCATTCAATAATGTATTATCGAAAGCGGTCATAAAAGCTCTAACTATGTTTAGGGTAACATCGAATCTCTCTGCGATAGAACGATCGTGGCAAAATGGGGTGGCGTGTGCAATCCGAAATGTAATTGGACGTCACTCCAGATGAGGGAAGTCTCTCGCCACTTTGATTCAGATCATGGTTCTTAATGACCTGCTGGAAAAGTTTGAGGAAAGTGACTTCCGGGTGATTGCCCATGCAAGCGACGTAGCTCTCTAAGTACCGTGTATGAGCTAGCTCAAGGGTACCTCTGCATCGGATTCATTAATCTTAATATGACTGAATTTTTTTTTATTTACGAGAAAATCCCAGAGCCGCCTCTCCCATCGATTGGATGAGGTTGTTTCCGTAGTTGTAGCCAAAAGGTGTATGACCACGAATGTTGCTCTCAGGCTAAAAGACAATGGATACCTAGATGATTGCGAGCCTAGGCATTCGGAATCTCGACACACTATGACTTCATACCATAATACTTGGAATACCAGGTCGTTCTTGCTTTGCTCTGCTCACATACGTTTGGGAGCTTTAATGGAAGAAGTCGCTTGAAAACAGAATTTTAACGGATTGATCAAAATTCTTTACGGTTGATAGAGGAGTGCATATATTGTCAGGAAATATACTCACATATATCTGTTCTAAGTTCAGGCTGGCTGACCATTGCAGGAAGTGTTAAGGTTAGACTCACTAGCATTACCGTCTTTTTGTGGTTTACTATTAGTTTTTTAGTTATATCAAATGGTCAGTTTCTACCACTTGTGCAGTCACACAATCTTTTTAGCAAAAGATAATTCGTAAGAAGTCCAGTGGGCTTTTCACACTCACCAAAACTCACCTTTTACTTGTTGTAGATGGTGATTCAAGCGGGAAAATTAAGAATTTTATCTGTTGTATAAGTTGCTTGGAAGATGAAGGGATAGTACATTCTCTAAATGACACGGCACAACTCTCTCAAGAGCCAGAACAGAGGTTCGGTCAGCGTTTAGTAGCAGAAAATCATCCAAATCCATCAGATACCGTTTATCCATGTTGTTTCTGAAACAATTAGGCCTAACACGATTCAAGTACCTCATAAAGCTTCTCACCCTAACATTGGCTACCATATCGTAGGTACAGAAAAGACACTTAAAGCTCTATGCCTCAAGCAACAGCAGGATCATATATCATAAGATCATACCAGCGCTCATCGTCATTACTGCACCAAATACAGACGGCTAAACTAAAATGGTTTTTGCCGTCTTGAGTACTTTAGACTTCTCCAAATATTTCCATAGTTCTAACCTTTCTACTACCAGGTTTGAAAACCTCTTCCCTGGACGCAATCAACTTTGGAGCAGGAACAAAATCACACACTGGTAGTACTTGGTATAAAGACCAGCAAACACTGCTCGCCACTTACAAAATAAATGATCGCGCTGTAGTGAACTACTTCGGAATCTTCTGATCCCCTGGAGAACACTACAGATCTACTTAAATACCGTCTCCATACCTGTTAATGAGATTTTTTCAGATATACATATCTTTGTTCTGTAACTGAGTACTCGTATATTTTGGTCCTTAGCTAAATATTATCTTTGAAATTTCTGGGAAACAACTCATTCCTGTTTCTTCGAGAACATAATCTAGGATTAGTACTGTCTGTACTTCAACTGTTATCGTAAGCCTTTGTTCTGAGTTATATGTAATGGACATTAAAATTGAACCCAATTTACTTAAAGGGACGTTTCGCAATTTTTTTTAAAGGGACGTTCTCTGAAGTTCGACGCTATACTTGAAAACCTGCTGGCTGTTGCAAGTTAGTTTCCTTAAAGAAAATGGCCTATTTATAACACAGACTTATGTGACACGTCAGTGGTTTCGTTGATTAGTAACTTTGGTTCCATTTGACCTTTCTTCTGACTGAACGTCAGTTATCCAAACTTCTTTCTAAAAATACTCTTTGGGGTCATTGTGTTTCTCCTTTATTAGTCTGTTGATAAAAATCCATTTCGTTTGAACGGAGATCAATCTTAAGAACTGAGTTAACGCGGCGGTTATCTAATCGCTCAGAATTGTCGAATTATAAGTGCTTTCAAACGATATGTATAGTATACGATCTAGAATAAACTGTCAATTGACCATTTTCAGTGACTTTTTTGTTAGTATAAAAAGCCTTTTAGAAGCTTAGTGTTACCTAAGGCGAAGTACGAATGTTGAGGGATATGAAAGTTGAGATATTTAGAAAACTGCAATTGGATGTAAGAGAAAGTTAATCGCGAAATACCTGGAACAGCCTTGTATCAATTATCAATGCTTTTCACGAAATTTGTGAGTGCTCTAAAACACACAGATGGATAGATTCAAAGTGCTTTATGATTTTTTTCTAGAGTTTCAGGAATTCTCTCTTGTGTTGCTCTCTGAATGTGCGCTCACGATTAATCAAGGAGTATTTATGTTAGGTTAGGTTAGTCTGTTGGCCAATAAGGCACGCATAGACTAGTTTTGGTCCTTTGCGATACCAGATGGAGTGCCGTTACGTGATCCATGAGGGATAGTCATCCTTAAGAATGCCTGCGCTTGACGCTAATTTCAACAGACTATGAACTTCCAGTGTCGCATACCATGGGGCGTCCAATTACGCTGCCTTGCCAATGTGGGACAAGTGCACGAAAAATTATCCATTGTTTCCCTGGTGCCTTGCACTTTATGTTTTCTGCAATCTTCATGATCTGTCAGCCCCATTCTGCAAGCCTGTGCCGCCACCAGACTGTAACCCGCGAGTATTCCACTCTCCACTGCTGCCCTGCTTTCCAAGACACTTCTGGCAGATATAAGAAACAAGGTTATAGTCTTGATAGCTGCAACACTTTCGGACGTCATACCTTCCATTAACAAGGCGAATTGGCTGGATTTAAAATTAGCCGCCTCAACAGATTTGTAGTAGACCTGGTGGTTCAACTGTCCAAATGGAATTCGAGTGAACTTCGTCACAACCTTAATTATCAGGTCCATAACCTTAATTATCGGAAGAATAGATGAAATTATTATTTTTTTTTTAAACAATTTTCAGTCTAGCCTAGTACCTACTACCAATACCTTTTTATTAATTTACATTTAATATGTGTCTGATAAAAATATAAATTTGCAGGTGGCAAAAGTAATGTGCTATAAAATTAATGCATTTAAGATGAGAACAACTTTCAGCTTTTCGGCAGGAGACTAAGAAAGATACAATTACCTCAACCCCGTCATGTGCGGGTCAGAATTCAATTTGTGGAAGAGCACCTGCTTTGGCCAGTCGAAAAACAGCGCAACATATTGTGGTTCGACGAAAAAAAATTGTTTATTTGGTTCCCGAGGATACAGACAGTATGTACGAAGGCCAGAAAACGCATCATTTGAATGATTTTGGATTAAACAAAACATGAATGTCAAATTGCACGTTCAATATATGTGGAGCCGACTATGCTAGCACATGCTGAATGAAAAACTGGGCTGAAATTAGTTGATCAACAAGACAATGGCAATACACAGATTTGCTTTAAATGTAGTTGAGGTTATGAGATGGCCTGCTATGTCACTTGACCTTAATCCGTTTTAGAATTTTTGGTCAGAGGTCGAGGAAGCTCTAGGGGAAAGAGAACCCGTTAAAGTGTTGGGAAGAATGCGTGAAGGGCCTTTCCTTTCAAATAATGCAGACGTTTGGTCGACTACAAGCCTAGGAGATGCGCAGATGTGTTATCTAGCAACGCTCATTCGACAAAATACTAATTAATTAAGCTTTATTATGTATTAACATATGAACATTGTGATGTAAAATGCTCAATACTGCTATTATTAATCACATCTGAAATTTTTATTTACATCCTTTTTTATTTATTTTAAATAGCACATTATTTAATTTTTTTAAACCATATTTCTAGCCAGCTTGAATATCATCAAATAAAATAAAATATAAATTAACTACATATAATAAAAACCAAATACATTATTTTTTCTTCGATTGAATTCCCAGTTATGCCACTGCTATTATTTCAAACACAGTTGTACATATTTGGCTCATGAGCCTCAATTTTTTTCATAGAAAAAATTTTATACGCTTATATTATTGCTAATATCGTTAGCCAAAGCTTAGCTAAAGTTAATTAGTAAAATATGACTACATTTTTATACTCTCGCAACATCTTGCTACAGATTATAATAGTTTTGTTCACTTAACGGTTGTTTGTATCACCTAAAACTAATCGAGATAGATACAGAGTTATATATACATTATATATACTTGTACATGCAACTGTCCTTGCAAGCTACATATGTTCCTTGATACCCAAGAGTGGTTTGTAATGCAGATGAGCGAAACCGGACAACAGCCACTCCCAAGACAAATCTTTAGGATAGTAGCAGTGTATCTTTACGTCTAAAATAGATCAAATCGGGTGAAAACTTAGAAAAAACCCTAACTATTCTAGCAAACTTTATGCCGAATATGTCGGTCAGTGTGTGAGTTACTTATTTATAAATTGCTTGAAAATATGTTCTCAAGTATACCTGAGCAATGCCAAAGGTTAATGCAACAACAACAACTCTATATAGTGATTTCCGACTTTTTAGCTGACTTTAAATCGTTTGAGTTGGTATATTTGTGTGATATTTTAATGAAATCAGGACAAGTTTGCCTAAAAAATTATGTGGCTTAGCGCTGAAATTGTTGGTGACCTTGGTGTAAACATCATATCTCTAATATAATCAATCCCGTTCCCCTAGTTTACGTTTACCATATATATATTAAGTTTACACTCTTCGGTTGTGGTTAGATAACATATATCTCATTTGAAGATGATTTCAATATAATTTTAGTTGAAGCGAAGTAAAATATATGAATAAAACTAAGGAAGTCTATGATCTATAAAATAACCAAATTTTATTGTAATCCAATCACTTTTTCTTCGAATAATGAATGTTGAACTCTTTCGCAACATTTTTTAATATCTAGTTTTGCGACACCTGAAGGTATTTCCTCTGCTTTGATCCGTGCAAGTTGCACGAGTATAAAATGTTCGTTTACATCCGAACTTAGCTTTTCTTAATTGTATTATTAAATATTTTTCAAAAAAAAACATTTAACCAAACCAATTCCACTTTGCTCACAAGTATTTATAATGGAATATTTAATACCATGAAACTATAAATAAAACTTAAGGCGATATTTGTCAAAACATAAGGGTATATGCATTTACAATACACAGAAGTGCTAGCATAGGCTAATTAGGAATGTAGGCCCGCATATTTTTCGGCATCGACATTTAGAATTTAAAATTTGTTTTACGTAAATTTTTGGTTAAAATGTTCTTTTGTAGTGCAAAAGTCGGATTATGACAGTTAGTCACTTAAGTAAACAGTTACTAACTACGTCTTGAAATTGAAACGCACTGTATTTTTGCGAATTCAAGTTTTGATTCACAGTGCAAAGAACAATCCAAATATGCATATTTGTATTAACATAACTTTCATTATTACTTTAAACAAAAAATTATTTCAACAAATTCGTTTTAATAAAATAATTAAAATTTTCAAAATTTAATAACGGCAAGACTGTTGAGTTTATACCGTCTTAAGTCACTAAATGTCCAAGTGAATACTTGACTTATATATAATCGTTTGGTACAAAGATGTTTACGAATTTTTCGAAACAGCTCGAATTGAGAAAGGTAACGCTAAACTAATTTTCTAAAACGATGTGAACACTAAAACTATTTAATAAAATATTAATTGAAAATGAACACGCGTTATATTAAATAAACTGTAAGCTCGCACGATTCATTGGCTTTGATTAGCTCTTGCGATAGCCGTTACAATTTCCATTTTCACCATCATTTTTTTTGCCGCTGGCACCCGTTTTAAGTCAGAAACCAGCGATAGTAAAAACATGCGATCCTCGTCTTGCGCTTCGTAGTCGCTACGTTCGCGATGCTCTAAACTGCTCAACAATTGCAGTATTTTGGCTTGTAATTCTTTGGATGAATCTTCCGATTCGTGCCGGACCCTTTTACTAATAGGTTCATCTGCAGCTGTGTCATTTGCAGGTAATGTTATTGATTTTTCTATATCTTTAGCCTCCTTCTCAGTAGCCTCTGAATTAACTCCATTTTCGTGTTCCATACACAAGTCAACAGGATTAATAAATTCACCGCCTTTGAACTGTGCAAGCGTACAAAACTCTTTGTTCCATGACGAATGAATAGATTCGTCATTTTCGGTGGCTGGTACCACTTCAATGCCATTGGTAAAATGATTCCCAACATCGACATTTACAAACGGGGAAAATGTTTCTTGCGAAAATGTACCATCGGACGTGTCCATATCATCGTACTGAAAGCCATCTTGTTTAATAAATGGCTTAATATCGCATTCTTCAGTTAAGTCAATCAAGTCGTTTAGACTATCTTCATCTTGTGGCTCCTGCTCAACTACCATTGTGCTGGTGTAACATTCCCGTAATCCCATCTCATCAGCTAATCTATAAGTAAACGTAATATTTAGTTCTAGAAAAACATTACACTAAAATAATAAATACCTCGCACAATGTGAGCTTTTGATGTGAGGTATCAAGAACTCGAGTTCAGCAATAATCGGACTTTCTTTTTTTCGGGAATAATTTTCAAGTGTAGCATTCTTTTTGACCTCGCGGGAAATTGAGTCTCGAAGAGTTTTCCAACGTCGGCGTACATTTGTACCTGTAACATAAAAATTGCATTGCGGTTGATGTTGAACTGGAGTCAATATGAACAAAAAATGGAATAAGAGTCTCTCCTTTTTTATGAGAACATGAGACCAACCCCATAATGTATTGTAAAAAAGTGTCCATTTAAAAACTTTTGTTATTATTTAAATGGTGAAATCGGATAATAACCACTTTTGCTACATCGAATACAGCTCATGTGGAGAAAATAACCGACACACATTTGGACAATTCTTTTAGGAACTTATAGGTCACACACTTTGAAGTTTAGATATTTTGTCGAGCTTTGCCTACATGTTAAGACTCTATGGTAGTTGTTAGGAAATATTGTTGGTGTTGTTGTAGCAACGGAAAATATTATTCGGATACATTTGACGCTGTCGAGTTGACATTGCTTGGGTAAAAATTCGTCCGTTCCAGTTATGTAGACCCCACTCTCGTTGATCGGTGACTGCCGAGAAAGATGAACAAAATTGATTTCACGGTCACAGACAATTGGGAACGCTTCACAAGCGGCACCAACATACCTTCCCAATAGCTGTGCACAGATTGTTTTTGCTGTAGCAACGGGAAAATTTCGCCGCGCCTTTCTTTGAAAAGATCCCCAATGAACAAAGGAGAAAAAACTGAAGACATTTCGGTGTTGGGCCGACAAGGACTATTTTGTGTGGAAAATCGGAAGGGTGGTCCGTTGGGCTTGTCAAAAGCATTTGATACAGTCAACCATACAACGCTACTTGAGGACATCGAACATACCACGCTCTTTGCAGGACTGAAGAGGTGGAACATGAACTATCTGTGCGGACGTCAATCATTGCTACTTTTAACCTCGAAACAATCTAAATGAAAAAAAAATTCAACAGAGGTTTCGCAAGGTGGTGTCCTCTCCCCGTTAGTGTTTAATTACTACATCTCGGCGCTCCAATAACCACCAGAAGGAGTTTCAATTAACTCATACGCAGATGATTGCACGATAATGACGTCAATTCTCGCTTCTTCACTGCTAGAAGCCTATAACTGCCAAATCCACGGCCACCCTATTTACCAACTGGGCAAAGGAGTACAAACTGGATCTTAACATTTTCGTCGGTGAAGTAATTTTTACCGACGATAAATGATCGGTAAAACATCGGGGTGTACAATTACAATTTTTGAACTTTAAATACAAATATCACAAAAACATATAAGTCTGAGGAAGGTATATGTATAAGTATATACATTTTTTAATCCTTTAGACCTCCTTTATACGTACATACCATCAGATCGGGGCGCCAAAAAAATCGTAAATGTTCCCAATAAATTGAAATTATGTGGTGTTGTGTAATGTATCCCGTTGGATTGCACTGAATAATCTATACTATATATACTATATAATATATATACTATATAATATTTATACAATATATAATAATATTATAAATGCGAAAGTCCGTTTGTTTGTTAAGCTTTCACGCAAAAACTACTTAACAGATCATCATGAAATTTTGTACATATACTCTTATAGGTGTCAGAATGAACATAGGATACTTTTTATTACAAAATTTATAAATTTTTTACGAACTGTTAAAAAAATTATTTTGGAAGATTATATATGTTTGGAAAATAAATTTGAAAATTTTGAAATTGAAAAAAAAAAGTTTGGCAGAAATGATTTTTTGTCGAAAAAATTAAAAATGAAAAAAAACATAAATGTATAAAAAAAGTAAATCAGAGAAATAACACAAATATGGATTCGATGCGAGCGAAGCCGCGGGTAAAAGCTAGTATAAAATAAATTAAAAACGAAAATAAACGATAAAACTGGAAACAAAAACGAGGAAAAAAATGTTGTTGCAAAGTACTTCAATCTATTATACAGCTTAGTCCTTTGTTATGCCCTTAGGGATAGTTTAAAATATTTCCTTTTCCTCCTAATATATGCAAATTGGCTTCATTTCCATGCTTTATAATTATTTTCCTTTAGTAGATTTTATGCATCAGCTGATGAGTGTCAAACTCTAGAATACCATATACAAGGTGAAATTCAAAAGTTTCAGGACTTTTATTAAAAAACGAATATTATTTGTTTTTTTTTTTTAATTTACTGGTCGCCTTCAAAATAGCCTCCTTCCGCCTGAATACAACGTTTTGCACGTTCAAGAAGGTTATCGAATGACTTTTTTAGGTCATTTGTCGGTATAGCGTTAAGGATGGCGGTCGTCGCCTTTTGGATGGCATCAACGTCAGCATAGCGGTTTCCTTTCATGACCAAATTTAGTTTTCCGAACAAATAAAAATCGCAGGGTGCCATATCAGGCGAAAAGGGTGAATGGTCGATGATATGAATGCGATTTTTGGTAAAAAAATCTGTCTGATTCTGAGGTCTTTTTCGTGTTGTTTCAAAGTGTGCGGGACAAATCGAGCACAAACCTTTCTGAATCCCAAAAATGGATTTGAATATATTTGAAATATTCTTAAAATAACTCGAAATCACAGACGAATACAGGTAAACTATTTTTAATAGTTGGATTTTGAGCTTTTTTATTATGAAAAAATATAACTAAAAAACTAAATGTGGGAAAAATCAGGTATACAAATAGTACAGTGGAAGCATTGGTGAAAAACAAAAGAGAACAACTGATTTCTGCGTTGCAACTACTGGCATAACTTTTGACAAATTTGCTTTATCACAGGCGGTAAGTACGAAATTGAGGAATGGCGGTGACTGTTTGTGCTATAAGTGATCCGAACTCTACAGAATTCTGCCGCTACAACAACAACAACAACTAAGTTACTTGAAAAATATATGCAAAGTGTGTTGAATATATATTTATATATTTTAAAAAATTTAAAAAGTTTTTAAAGCCTTTTGCTTAAACTATACATTTGCCAAAAATATATGTAAGTGTAAAATTCAAAATTCGAAAAATACATACTTAAAATTGTTTAATTTTTCTTAAAATCTGGGACGGTATACTAAAATTTTCCCACATGCTTTTCTAAAATTTACCCAAAATTTTACTATTGTAATTTAATTAAGTTATTGGTAAATGTATAGTTTGAGTCCCCCAACTAAGGAGGCCTCTAAAAGTAATTTTTTTTTAAATCGTCTTATTTTGACGCGAATATTACAAGTCCGTGAACGGAAAGTGAATTTTACAGAATTTCTTTTGCGCCGAACTGGCGGCCTTCTGCCGCGCTTCAAAAAAATAACCCTGGTCGGTCAAAAACCGGGGTGTTCCTAATTCAATCGCGTCAAACTCCCTTCTGTACTGGCGGCTTTCGTCCGCGCTTCAAAACAAAATTACCCTGGTCGGTCCAAAACCGACCGGAAAATATAAAAGAATTAATTTTAATGTATCACAATTTTTTTTTTAATGCATATGTATTAAAAAAATTTAAAAAAAACGTTGGGAAAACTTTAGTATACCGTCCCAGGCTTTCGGGGATAAAATGGGTATGGGCGGAGAAAGGAGATAATCCAGATCAAGAATATATATATATATATATTTAGCCGCGGGAAACTTATGGTTTTGGAGATATTTACGTTAAAAGTTGAAAGTGTCAACTATTTAAAGTACGCAGTTTTTCGATTTCAAATGAATTATACACTTATATTTTCCACTTTTATATCCACTAACACTTCACTAATTCGTTTGTACACATTTATTTTACATTATATAGTGCAAAAATAGTTTAATTCAATAATTAAATTATTGTTAAATTCAATTAATTCTGACAATAACAAAAGGGTTGCAAAATGTCAAATAACCAGTGTTACCTTATCGATATCTTTTGCAATTGAGCTGAAAGAAATTAAAACAGATAATACCCTAAATACAGGAATCCAAGACCTAGAGAAATAAACTATTACAGAGCATTGATGTTATGTATTACGTTATACCCTCCATGACAATATTACTTTTTCTTGTAGAACTTCTTTTTGTGTTGGCAGCCTTCGGCCGCGCTTCAAAAAAAATAACCCTGGTCGGTCCAACACCGGGATGTAACAAGGTCTTTTCGCGTAGAACTCCTTTCTGCGTTGGCGGCCTTCGGCCGCGCTTCAAAAAAATAACCCTGGTCGATCCAACACCAGGGTGTATCAAGGTTTTTTTGCACAGAATTTCTTTTTGCGTTGTTTCCTGCATCTAGAGTATAATCTCTCTGTTTATTTTATTTTTCTTCGTTTACAAAATGTATTAGTATGGCAACACTGGTGTTTTGACATTCACAACCATTTTGTTATTGTCAAAATTAAAAAAATTGAAGAAATATTTAAATATTGAAATAAAGCTATTTTTGCAGCATCTAATATAAAAAAAATTTCTAAAAACGAATTAGTCAAATGTTAGTGGATAAAAAAGTGAAAAATATAAGTGTGTAATTCATTTTAAACCGCAAAAATACGTACTTTAAATAGTTGAAATTTTCAACTTTAAACGTAAATATCTCGAAAACTATAAGTTTCCGCAAGCTATATCTATATATCTTCTTGATCTGGAGGATCTCCTCTATCCGCCCATACCCATTTTATCCCCGAAAGCCTGGGACGGTATATTAAAGCCGACCCAAAACGTTTTTTTTTTAGGCCTCCTTAGTTGGGGGACCTAAACTATACACTTACCAAGTTAGTTAATTTTTAGAAAATTTCACGACTAATTAAGTATGTGTTATATATTGATACAATAGTCAAGTTAATTAAGTGAGAACTCAAGATAAGACATATTATCTGTAGAATATTGGTATTTACACATTACTAATTCTAAATATCGATAACAAAATACAAAACGTATGTAGCAAATTATATTAGATATGCACTATTTGTAGCAGTGGTTCTCCGTCAACAATTGATTAAATGCAAAAATCCATGTCGGTTGCAATTCATTATCGAGTGTAAAGTTATCGTGTAATCACTATTACTACCCTTTAGCTGATAAGCCAACCATAGTATTTTTTGTAGAAAGATGAGGAAGGGCGAAGCGTGCGTCAATAGGAAATTAATTTTGTTACAAATTCATATGTTCTAAATTTTCACAATCAAAAATGGGTATTATTTTTACCTACTTAGAAAAAGTAATGCTATCGGCATATAAAATGCATCATACTAAAACACAAACACTATATGACCGAGTTTGTTTTGTGCACATACATACATATATACTTACGTATGCAGTCTTGATGGTGGGGTTTGTATGAATCGTAAAAAGGAAATAATGCTCTGTAAATGCGCTCCCAAATTATCTCTTTGTGACTCTTGTCATTATAGCCGTCCGCAAAACTGTTGTACAATACTTCATGACTACGAACCAATCGTATCAATTTCATTGAATTTATTTTCACAATCACACCACTGCCTGAAGCCTTGGTACAATGTATTTTTCCTTGGTTACTCGAGCTACCGTGAACTGCTTCAGATGCCTCCATTTTCACAACGCACCAGCACACAACAAATAAATTTACGTACTGAATTAATACGCGGCGCAGCTGTTAGCTGCGTGACTATTAAGCCCGTGACACTATCGTTATCTCGCTTACACCTGCGGTGATTGGAGTGTAAGAAACCATAGCTACCGAAGCAACATTTCAAACATATGTAAATTTATATGTTTTCGGAGAATCAACCGCGTACAGCAATACCGCTTAGAGCTGCGGCAGGGATATCGAACACCATATGTCAACTTGTTCCAAGTATCAACATAAGCGTTTTTAGATTTATAACGAAACAAAACAGGGTAGTACAAATGAGTTCGTCTTTATGCAAACAAAATGTTTCAGTATTCATGCATTTAACTGGCTGAGCTACATACACTTCTATCAATGGTTAAGTGTTTTCCATTGCAATATAACATTAAGGGATACAAACATATGCTGTTGAAATTGTGTATTATACTCAAGTAAAGCTTTTCTTGTGAATTGTACGTCATATGCTTGGATCAACTTAACATAACGTGGTGTTCAGATGCATAAACACAATGTGGTGCTCGTATACATAGCTATATTACTCAGCATCTAAAATGAAGTTGCTATTATGTTCGCAGAAAAGAATTTAATTATGTATTTGGTTTAAGAGGTGCAAATGTTATCAGCATTTTTTATTCCGAGATATGTTGTTTATTTTAAGACATAAATTGGTTTAGCAAGACTTGCTTAAATTTTCTTGTTGTTCGTGACATCCATTGTACTAACCTACAAGTAACAATACGCGCTTCACGGCTGCAGCAGTGTTGCCACTTGGGAAAATCTTTGGGTACCAAAATGCCTAACAAAACCTACCTACCTGTTGCAAAATTATCAAATTTTCTTATCAAAACATTGTGTTTGATTTCACTTCACTTTTAGAAAAATATGTACATAAAAATAGAGGTCAAATAAAGTAAGCTACATACTTTTCCTTTTCTTCAATCTAATTGAATATTTTTAACCACTCCTTACGAAATTCCCACATTCGTCACTATAAAGTTTATCTAAAACTATCTGAGCGGTCGGCAATCAACCGCACTGTTTTGAGGTCCAAATTCCAAATTAAGAAAAAATTAAAAGGGGGGTTCCGCAGGGTTGTGTCCTCTCCTCGATACTGTTTGACATCTATATTTCGAGACTGCCTCCACCACCAGAGGGAATTTCCGTCAAAGGATCTGCAGATGATTATATGATATTGATGTCGTGCAATGTTATCGATGGCATGTGTTTGAAAGTAGCCCAACACTCTGACCGTCAAAGGCCCTAAGATTTTAGACATTTAAGTACAGAGCCGCACCAAAATCATCAAGTCGCTATCCAGCAGCTACTGGGGAATGGACAAAGAGTCGTTGTTGGTGTACGTTGCCAGTCTTCTCCAAGCAGGTTCTCCTGGGATGATTTCACAGAAACAGTAGTTGGAGTTAGTCCACCAGCCATAGCAGTTGTAGAGATCTAGTTGCCCAATAATTTAGAGTGATCCTTGCGCAATTTCGTTCTAGATACTGTAGCAGGTTAAACTCATACTCGTCCCTTCTGAATAACCCGACATACCAAACATATGTCCTTCGTGAAATGAGGTACCGTATGAGTATAAACACCTTTTTGTATGTTCAATGAATCCCCCACATCCCTATCCCTACAACGACCGGTGTGTTTTACGTGAGTACCTGCCGGCGACGGCCTTACCTCACTGTGCTCAAAGCACAACGTATCAAAACAATGCGTTGATTACCGCCTCAAATAATACGAGCTATTTGTCCGTTTTCAGGTACGGAACTCAGTTGCTTGTGTAACTTTTTTTTTGAACTGAAAATTCAGTTCTTTCAGCACTTAGGCTTAAACCACAGCCACCACGAATCTCCACAAAGGGCCGAACCCAATGAGCAGATTGGTCCGAAGTCCAAGGGCATTCTGCTCCCCGTGGTACCAGAGTGGAGTCTCCGGTAAGACTGTGTAGCCGAAGCTACAGCCAGTTGAGCTCCCCATTACTCAATGACTGGTGACAATTGTCGCTTGAACTTCAAATGTCTTTTTATTTGGAATCTCATTTAAAGTCTATAATATCAGTTCAAGCTGAGTATTATAGCACCATTTTTGACATTATTCCTATGCTGATATTTCTAGGCAAGGTAAAATAACAGTCATAGTGCATTTGGCTTTTAGTCGCCTCTTACGACAGGCACTGAGGTGAATTTGATGACAATCATTTCGAATCTTACAACTTAAACGGCTCAACAACATTGGCAAGTTGCCAATTGACATGTCGCAAAAGTTATAGTTTTCATTTACCTGACGTTGATATCATTTTGTTCGCTTACTGCGGAAGTTTTAGGTACTCTATTGTTATACCTAAAATACCAGTTGAAAGTATAATATTAACAATTGTTTAAAGTAAAACTGAATTATTTACTTGCCCAGATACTTATATATACCTATATATCAAATTTTTGGCACTCTCAATTTTTTTTCACAGTTTCAATTATAGTTAGATCTCTCATTTTCACACATTGAGCAGGTTCCCATTCATGACTTTTTTTTAGTAAGTATGAATATCAAACAAGAAGGTCTGAAATTTTACGACGACAAGCGATTGGAATTAAGATACACACGTTCTTATGGGTCAAGTTATTTAGACAGCAGCACGACTTCACGGCAGCAGATTTGCAGTTGTCGCTGTCGCTAAATTAACACACCAGTTTAAATTTTGCCAAATACAATGGGCACCTGTAGTTATACCACAAATATGTAAAATGTAAAATTATTCAGATTTCTAACAAATCTATTGCTATTTTGCCAACAAAAGCACAAAATAGTACTGATATTATTGTTTGTAATTAGAACTAATAACTTAAAACAATGAATCGATCAATTTACTTATATTTTTCTACGACAACTTTCACTTTAGACCAGGGTTGCAAATAATACATTAAAAAAATAATTGAATTACCATTTGAATTAAATGGTAATTAAATTTTTTTTTTGGAATCCCAAATTTTATACGTAGACAATGAGAATGATAATCGGAAACGATAAAAGTAGACTAGGTCTCCAACTAATATTTTTATTGAACAACACTTTACAATTATTTAGATGGTATACACATATTAAAAAGTTTCACTTTAAAAACTGAAAACAATATTTTATAATCGTTTAGTCATTTTGATCCATATTTAAATTTTTTTCAATCATTCTATTATCAGTTCCATTTTCATCATGAGTTTCACAGTTTATCAATGTAACTAAAAATAGCAAAATTGAGTATTTTCACTTAATGAGAAAAATAATGCTAATTCCAATGTTAAGAAATGTACGCTTACAGATTCGTTTATTTACAATGCACAAACGACTCTGCATATAATTTATAAATATTCTAGTTATATTCATACATATATATGGTATCACAGGACTTAAGTATTATATATAGTACATATACATATAATATATTTATTTGCTTTGGTAATTAAAAGCTTTGATAATATTTGAAAAGACCAAGCGGTCGCACATATGCTCATATATTATATATATAAATATATGTATATAATTATGTGTGCATCGAAACAAATATGAAAGAACACATACTTTTTGTATATTTGTCTACCTGCAACATATGTATGTATGTAAATATGTACACTAATTGCTTCATGTGAAATCTCACGTTTTTTGCTTTCATGTCAAAGAATCAATATGTCGAAGGACTGACGCGACGACAAATCGTCACAACGTTGTGTTATTGGTAAAAAATCCGAGCTGTGTCGAAAACAACAAACGAACGATCGCCGATTGTCACCGCTTCCCTTGCCGCTCTAACAGCTTTGCTAATAAACCATCGTAAATATATATGTTTATGTATGAGCATGCATATATGTATATCGACGCAGATTTTTGCGATCCATGTAAAAATATTTTGAATCGACAAGAGCTATGTTGCCATTTTTGTCACTTTTTTCTGTGTTTGCCGGGTTGACACTTTTTCCTTCCAGAAGGAACATCAGAAAGTTGTTCAACTTGTGATATTTAGCTTTTGCCATCGTCGCGAAAAAACGGTTGTGGGCAAACGCATGCTCGGGAAGATATGTATATTGACATCGTCGAGTACGACGAATATTCGCCGTCGCCCGTATTGTGTTTATGCTATCATGTGTAATTAGAACCATCACTGGATCCCTTTAAATAGCTTTTGTATGAAAATAGTGTGGAAAATATTTTCTAAAGCTGTTTTTTAACTAACAACATAATTATTTATAATTTTACTAGTATTAAAAAAAAAAATATTAATGAAATATATAAAAAAAATTTTATATTTCTGTTATAAACATTCAAGAACTGATATATCAAACAATAAATTGTTTACATTAATTTGTTCTACAAAGAAAAAATGTAATTCCTACTCTATATTAAAAGACATAAAATCGTTGATTTTTGCTTCATACGTTTGTATTGTGACGAACACGGTTGATAGAACAAAATCGAATCGACGATAAATTGTCAGAAGCAACTAGACAGCGAATTCGTAGTTATCAGAAGGTTCTAGAGGTCAAGTTTAGTTAAAGATCTAATATATAAAGACAGCCAGATTGTGCAGCACATACAGTTCTAGTTAGAGTGTGGTTGGTTTAAGAGCAATTAAGATATAAGCAAGAAGTTGTAAGCTCGAATAATAAGTAGTTAAGCGTTAAGTTATTGGAATTAGAAATGAAGATAAGTGTATAGCCATTAAATTGGGAATTGTAGGGATCTTTTGTTCTATTTTGTTTTCATTTGGCCAATGTTGCCATTGTTCAATTTGTATTTACGATTTTTTACTGATTTGTTAGTTGTAATTTTTTATAATGTAAAAGCTCAAAACTAAAATCCATCTTTTAAAAATAGTCTACATATTTATAAATAAATTTATTTGACTGTAATTTTGAGTTAGTTTAATAATATTTCAAATGTATTTAAGTTAATTTTTAATTACTACAAAATAGCAAGACTGGCAATCCTGCGTTACAAGAGAGTAATCATCTCACTCGTTTCTACGGGAAAAATCTAATTTTCGCGGATATCCTACCGTACGGTCTACAGTTATAATTGAGGTCGTATCAGCTGATTCGGTCTACGGTTTGCGTAGGTAACTGCTCCCAGTATAAGGTTTTCATTAACCCATACGCAAAAAATAGATATTTGGTACGGATTGCCCCTAAATATTCTACTACTAATTAGGCTCTTGGCATGGGTTGCCTGCTAATATTAGTACTAAAACTTCCAAATGCCTAAAATCTGCTATAGCGTGTTGCCGTGTTTTGTTTTAAATCTTTTAACTTTATGAATGTTTTTATTACATCTGTAAATATTATTTATTACATTGTTTTGATTATTATTATTGTTGATCCTGATTTGTTCCTGATTTCTTATATTTATTTTTATATGTGCTGAAATTAATACAAGTAGATTGTTTTGACTTGTACTTGTTAATAAATACAATTGAATTGTACATGATTTTATATATTCATTTTGGTTTTTGTTTAAATTATTTCAAGCTGATTATTTCGACTTATATTTTTAATGTAATTACTATTCATGAACTGTATTTTATTTTATGTTTACATACATATATTTTTTGTCATATTTGTTATTATATGTAGATTGATTTCAAACTGTACATATTATTAATATATGAATATAGGCTATCTGGGAAACCGAACACCAGAAATATCGATAGCGCGCCTACATTGCAACCTCAAAATTGGAATTAGGAAAAACAATAAATTTTTGTTTTGAAAATATTCTTGAAAGTTTTCAATAATGTTTTCCATTACAAATATTTTTCCCGAAAAAGTCATCACTTTATTTATGTACATCTCTTTGTCGAAAAAGTCAGATTTCGATCAGATGATCTCAGCTGTTTAAAATTCTTGGAAAACAGCTGATTCTTTTGTTACTTGGACGATTTATACAATGGACGAAATAACATCGCGTGTAGCTAAGCCGGTAAGTGAAATGTGCCCTGCACGAAATTTTATGTAATTATGAATGTTTTATGTGTTATGGATTACATTTTGTTTTTTACGTTACTAAAGACAGTAATATGAAATGTTTTGGGGTCCAATATATTTATTATAATCGTACAATGTATAAAATAAATCAGGAAGCATGAAATTATTTGTATGAAGGAAGAATGAAAAGGATTCACAAAATTTAAGGTAACAGAGTTCTCAATGGGTGTCTTAAATACCGTGCTCGCCTAGATGGTGTTCACATGGGGATTCTTTTGTCGCCCATTATCGCCAAATTCATTTTTGGTGTCGCTCTGTGCGTTCACACGAAAATAGTCCAACAACTCCATTTCATAAAATTTTCATAAATGTTTGTGCGGTTCGGCTAGGCGATACTTAGATCCTATTGCATAGTTTATTTGTATATTGGTATGGTGGTCTTATATTTTGCTTACCAGGAATTACCATGTACGTGTTAGAACAATATTTAGAATAGAAGAAAATCTTATGACGGGAATTCCCTAATCCATCAGAATGTATTGAATATCCGCTATTATTATTTTTAAGGCCAAATGTATGACGGGAATTTCCTAATTATTGGGAATTATTGGATTTGGCTGGTTTTTTTGTAGTTTTCTAATACTCTGTATAAGGTTCTAACGAAAAAAATATTAAGAAAATGTCTCAGAAAGATTGAAAAAATACATTTAATTTTGCATATTTTAAAAAACGCGCGTAACGAATGTCATCGGAAATGTGGTTACTTAATTAAATTCTATAGCCTTCTCAGTTATGACGAGACCAGGGAAATAAGGATTCATTTTTATATGGAGGATATTATAGATTCCAGTTTAAATTGAATAGGTACTCATACCTAAGATAGGACAACTGTCAACTATATAAAATAAAGTAGTGCATCAAAGCTACGCTATGGCGGTACAAAGTTCGCCGGGTCAGCTAGTATTTTATGTAAATATAAAAAGTAAAAGCAACTCAATTTTTATTAAAATTCATTTATATATTAATATAATTTTACATTTAATACTGCTAAATGTTATTAAAAATTTAAATTAAATATTTTTGAGTATCTTAATTGTCACAATTTTCAAAATATTTATATTATTCTATGCATATTTGCATATTACATACAAAAAATTGATAACGAAATTCAAATTTTCGAACAAGAATACGCCACTGGCGGA